ATGCTGGGTAAGGTGGAGGGTCAGAGAAAAAGAGGAAGACCCCCAATGAGATGGATCAGCCAGGTGGCATCATTGATGGTGTCAAGTGTGGCAGCGGTAGTGAGGTTGGCCCAGAATCGGACAGTGTTTCGTTCTGCTGTGCATAGGGTCACTGTGAGTTGGTTCCGACTCAATGGCACCTGACAACAACAACAACATATGCACACAAAAGCTGGATGAGTAAGAAAGACCAAAGAACGGTGCCTTTGAATTATGGTGCTGGTAAGAATATGAAGTATTCCATGGACTACCAGAATGAAGAAATCTGTGTTGGAAGCAGTAGAGCCAGTGTGCTTGTCAGAAGGGAGGATGGCAAGACTTTGTCTCATGTTCTTTGGACATATCAGGAGGCCCCCGTTCCTGGAAAAGCACATCATGCTTGGTAGAGCGCCAGTGACAGGGAAGAAGACCCTCAATGAAATGAACATGGTGGTTCCAACAATGGACTCAGCAAAGGTGATGAGGCTGGTGCCAGACCAGGTAGTGTTCTGTTGGACATAGGGTTGCAGTCGGTTCCCATCCACCAGCACATACTGAGGTGCTGTAGGATACCCAGATGTTTAGTAAGCAACTGAAATGACTTCCCTAAGTCTGTGTGGCTGACAGGTAAATACATTACCTGTAACCTGCCTAATCTGTGCTAAGACAGGCATATATAGGGCAATTTCCAGAGCTCAGAACTGGTAATAGATAGGAAACCTTGTTGGCCCTTACCATGCGGGACTACTAACCAGAGGTGAAGTGCCATGATTTGAAGATTACCAAGTTATCAGGTTGAAATCCTTGGGCTCTAGGCAACAGGGGGTGCCTACTGGCCAAAGCTATTTTTAGGTAGGAAAAAAGCATCTTAGAGGCCAGAGGCTATAAGCAAAGAAGGTTAAAAAGGATGTTGTTAAGGTAATCAAGGTTAACTTGTCGAGTTTCAGAAGGACGCTGCTAGGGAGAAGTCTGATTTACAGAGTTTGGCATAGAAAGCAAGCTATATATGAGAACCAACAACAACAAAATATCCTCAGTGTGCAGAAAAAAGCTGTGTGCACTAATACACATCTACTGTACAGCCTCCCTCATCTTCTTAATATGCACATTTGCAAACACTAAAATCTCAACTCCAAACCCACATTCTCCAAAAGCGAAACCAGTGTGAATTTGCTCTATTATAGTGTTCAATAACATTTAAGACTTGACGTGTTACATGATATAAATTTATTGAATCAGATTAAATTGTTCAATGTGCTACAGTTCTTTAAAAATTCTAATTAGTGTTTACATGTTCAAAGTTAAAAAGGTTATTAGTCAAAATGTTTCTCCTCTCTCTATTCAGCAGAGGGATGTCACAGGGGGTTTGGGGTGTGTGTACTGCACCCACTGACAGAGGTGGTGACACCACAATGTATGCAGAGTCTGTACTGGCTGCAGGTGGGCTGGGACCGCAGGGGGAGGGGAAGCCAACACAATGGCGTGATCACTAGGGTCGACATCATCTGTCATCCCCAGCGTGTTAGCTCATCACCAACAAGCTCCCCCTGGCCCCTTCAGGGGACACCACTGATTCAGCACACACGAGTTTAATTATCCAAAAGGCAGTGTCAGTACAGCTAACTGGGACCTGAGGTATGGAGAGGGAAGTGGCTAGTGAGGAACCCACTGAGGCTCTCAGAACCATCTGCTTCGGTACCACACAGAACTCTCACTCTTCAGGGGCTCCTCATGTTGAATGGAAGCAAAATCTACCCCCACAGTTCCTACTGCAATTACTAGGGTTCTCCATGGCTAAGGCTAAAAAAAAAAAAAAGTGCCTTGTTGTTGGTGTTCAGTGTTACTGAGTTGGTTCTGACTCACAGCAACCCTATGGGCTTCCAAGGCTGTAAATGGTTGGCAGCAGCAGGAAGACTCATAGTTCTCCAGAACAGCTGGTGAGTTGAAGTGCCAATCTTCTGGGTCACAGTCCAGAGCGCAGCCTACAGAGCCACAGCGCTCCCCAAAGGTTGTCCCCTGGACACTTACAGTCCTTCTCCTTCTCCAGGATGGAGCCTCTGATGTTTCGAAAGGTTTGATTTGCTACAGAAGGTTTTCCCACAATTCTTACACCAGTAGGGCTTTTCTCCAGTATGGATTCTATGGTGTTTGTTAAAGTTTGAGCTGTGGTTGAAGGCTCTCCCACATTCCCCACATTTATATGGTTTCTCTCCGGTGTGGAGTCGCTGGTGTGAACTAAGACCTGCATGCTGACTAAAGCGCTTCCCACACTCGGTACACTGGTAAGGCTTCTCCCCAGTGTGGGTTCGATAATGACGAATGAGGCTGGCTTTCCCACTGAAAGATTTCCCACAGTCTGTACACTGATACGGTGCCTCTCCAGTGTGGCTTCTCTGGTGTTTAAGGAGATCTGAGCTCTGACTAAAGGCTTTCCCGCACTTGGTGCAGTCATAGGGCCGCTCTACCATGTGTGTTCTGTAGTGAAGGGTGAGGTTTGAGCTGTGGCTGAAAGCTCTCCCACATCTGGTGCATACATAAGGCTTCTCCCCAGTGTGTGTTCTCCGGTGTTTAGTAAGATTTGAACTATTACTAAATGCTTTTCCACACTCGGCACATATATAACGTTTCTCTCTAGTGTTAAAATGAATAGGAATTACTTCAGTGACTTCTTTGGAACCTACATCTTGGGAAGAAGATTTTGTTCCTCTTTCAAGGTTTACCTGCTGCCTTTCTAACCTAGCCTCATACTTATTATCAATAACCATGGCAATAAAATCCTGTGGGAATTGTTCTGTTTGACAGTCTTCTTCAGAACTCTGCTCCTTATTTGTTGATTCCTCATGCTTGGTGTTTGATTTATAATCTGAAAAGTAAGTAAGATAAAGATATGTCAGTTTCCTGTTCTGAGGAAAAACTTGTTAAAGGTGAGACCAATGAATTCTGAAGAATGATCAAATACAGCTGTGAAAGGTCACCCTCTCCCAACTGATACAAGCCATCAGCAAATCTGATTTACAGTTCTGTATTCGTGTACGCTCTTCTGCCGGAGCTATAATGGGAAGGTGAGCATATGGCTTTCCCTGCTAGGAAAAGATCATCCCTATAAAGTGAACAATAAGGCAGAGCAAGCATGTAGGGACAACAGCAAAGTACATGGGCATACTTAAGCAGAAAGAAACAAAACTGACTGATAAAATATCAAACCTGATTAAGGAGAACAAAAAGCTAATTATGGGATCAGAGGCTAAGTGGCAAACTCCTTCAAAAAACCCAAATTCGTGAAGAAGTGGAACATAAAACAATTAAAGAGAACATTCAGCCCACTTATGAGGGAAAATCAGAGTCTTGGGACAAAATTATAGAAGCATTTATTGAACAAAAAAACAAACAAAATGTGAAGCTAATGTTTCTTGGCATATCCTTTCTCTAGGTCTATACACAATTCTGAAGGTAGTATTTCCATCTTTCTAACCCATTCTTAAAATACTTATTGATGGGAGAACAAACAAGATGGCAGATCGGGTAGCCGTGCTGTGAGGAGCTGTGGCAGCAACAACACAGAATACCAGACCAAGCAAGCTAGGGGGATGGTGCCAGAACTCTGAACCACAGATAAAGGAATATTTAAAAGGTTGAAAGGCTTACAGCTAGGGGAATTTGTAGCAGAAGCAAGATATCCATTACTTCCTAATTCAAGATGCTCAGCTGCTCCTGGAGCCACCATCCAAGTAGGGGAAGGATCAGTGCAGCCATGGACGCCTGACAGAATTGCGAAGATAAAGGTGTGGACAGTCTTTTCTTTTTTGTATCTGTTCATTGGTCTCTCGCGCGCCTCCATTCTGGTGACTAGCAGCGGGGAGTGGGGGTGGGGGGGAGTTGGCGCCTGAGTGAGTGGACACCCCACCCCCGAGGGTTCTACTATGCAGGTGCACAGATCTTCTCTAAATTTAAAGTGACAGTGTCCACTTAAAACCAAACGGCAGTGCAAAACAGACACAGCCAGCCCTGAACTGTTTATTGCTAGGAAAAAGGCCTGAACGGGGATTGTGGAGCAGGACAGTTAGACTAAAAAGGAAATAGCCAGAAAATTAAATCCTTAGTTATGTCACAACAACCAACAATGGCATCTTGAAATTTCTTAGGAAGAAGAGTGAAAAGGGAAGACCATCTCCTGATCACATCTACTTAGAGGC